TAGGGTACAACGGGGCTAAAGGCGCCCTGGGGTAAAAGGCGCCTTTGATATTATTTTCATCTAAACCACTAGATGGCACAAAAACGTGGCGTAGCACTTTCCAAAACATCCGTTTTTCAAGATGCACCTGTATATTTGTCTGATCTTTGACGCGATCGCGCGCAGCAGTGCAAAGTAGATTCTGTGCTTACTTGATCTAATATTTTGTTTTTTAAAATGTTATAGATTTAAGTAGCAAATGAGAATCGCTCAAATTAATGCATATATCTCGAGAGAAAGGTCTTCTTTATGATTTTGTTTTAGATATTTAAAGCAACAGTTTTTAAATAACGAAAGAATATGTAAAAGTATGGTATTTTAGTCCCCTGCTGTTGGGGCTAAAGGCGCACAGTAATTAACATGATAATTAATAGATGGCTGACTTTTCCATTTGTTGACATGACATGGTTAGATTCAGATGGTAAATATCACATATTATGTTGGGTGTCCATATTAGAGATAATCACCATGTTTAGAATGAAACCATCATATTTAAAAACATAATATTAATCATATCATATAATAAAATAGAATTTTTTGTTACTACTGTAAATATATATTCAATTATTATTGGATCTCCTTCAATACTTTCAGAATCTTTACTTATTAAAACGATTTTGTTTCTGTATTTTAAAATATATATTTTTAAATGAACACATTTTAATGACAGCATATTTATTGGGGAAAAAAATGTATACTTTTATTTTTCAAAATAAGCAGAAAATAGTACAAACTTTGCTAAAGTGATTGTTTTGAACAAGTATTAACTTAAACATTATTTTTTTTTAAACATTATTTTAGCTGAAGTATTTGTATAAATACCGTGTGCCTTTTACCCCATGCTGGTGAGCCTTTTACCCCGTGTGTGGGGTAAAAGGCCCCTCTTGCCACCTTATACATTTATAAGATTTTTAAACAAAATAAACAACTTGAATGATTTATTTTCACACAAAATCTGTTGATCCTTTAATGTTCAATGCAACGGCCCGCAGTTGGAATCAGCTTCCAGAAGAGATCAGATGTGCTAAAACATCAGTCACATTTAAATCTAGACTCGAAACTCATCTGTTTAGCTGTGCATTTACTGAATGAGCACTGTGCAATGTCCGAACTGATTGCACTGTATTTTATGTATGTATAATCATAATCATTTTGTCTTAAATTCGTTTTAAATCAATTTTTAAATCATTTTCAAAGTTGTTAAATTCCTTGTTTTATTCTTGTGATTATTATTATTATTATTATTTTTATGATTATTTTACTTTCTTTTATGTAAAGCACTTTGAATTACCATTGTGGACGAAATGTGCTATATAAATAAACTTGCCTTGCCTTGCCTTGCCTAGTACCATGGTATTCTTGGAAGTGCTCTGGAATATCATATACGTAAATACCATGGTACATATACAGTATATGAAAGTTCCAGGGAATTACTATCTGATGCAATCATTGCTCCATGGAACTGGACTTTTTCATAATTGTACTTTTCCCACATTTTTCTAACACTTGTCTTGGCTAGCCTACTTCACTGAAGGGGATAGTAGGATTTCTCAATTTACAACTGTACTATACAATTATTCACCCACTCCTCCAGCGCCATCCAATAGCAGCAGCTCTTGGATGTAAATTATACATTCCTAAACCATAAATACAATAGACTTAAGTCCATAGGCATTAGAGCGCACACTGCTCACTACTGACTTCAGGAGTTTTACAACAACAAGAATCAGTTCTTCCAGATCTAAAAAGTAAGTTCCTAACTATTACTTGGTGCAGCCTTTAATAATATCTTCAATAGCTTATTTGAAAAGGCTAAGCAGCTGAAGACTAATAATAACTGGCTATTTATAAACTATTTGTTTTTTTTACAACGGTATTTCAATGAAGGCTGCTGTGATTGAGCAGTCAGAATCAAATGTTTTAGAAAGCTGTGCAATAAATATATATAAAAGTGTCTGAATGTATAGTGACATTTTTGTGATATTTGAAACAGAATTTTATGAAAGGTTACTACAGTAAATGTCTTTGTGTACAACCAGTGGAAAAATTCCCTAACGGTTTTTTATTTTATTTTTTTTAAATCTCATTCAGCCATGGCAAGCATACACGTACCACCTTATGCACCCCCTGCAGCCATGTTCAATACAGTCTCTGGATATGCAGGAACAGTGGCTGGCGGAGGCAGTAAGAAGCATGCAAGTTGTCTTTAAGATATGTGAGCATGAGAAAACATGCTTAGGCTCACATGTTGCATTTAAATCATGTCAGAAAGATCGTATTTATGAGTTGACCACACATGAACGTCATCACAAGTGGGAAAGTTTTCCTTAAACCTTAAGTTTTCGAACTGGGGGTATTTTAGTTGCATGTCTTTCTTGGTGCACAACCAGTAGAAAACTTCCCTAACCGTTTTTTGTTTGTTTTTTGTTTTAATTCTCATTCAGCAATGGCAGCCCCCCCTTGCGGCAAGCATCCACATACCCCTATATGCACCCACTGCAGCCATGTTCAATATAGTCCCTGGATATGAAGGAACGGCTGGCGGAGGTGGTAAGAAGCATGCAAGATGTCTTTAAGATATGTCAGCATGAGAAAATGTGCTCAGGCTCATATAGTACATTCAAATCATGCCAGAAAGATCGTATTTACAAGTTGAGCACACATGAACATCATTACAAGAGGGAAAGTTTTTAAGGCTTGACATTTTCGAATTGGGGGTATTTTAGTTGTATGTACAAAATACCATAATATTGTACAATTACCATAGAATATATAACAATTAAATTTACAGCACCATCATAAATAAAAAAAAATTATAAAAGCAAAAACACAACAATGCACATTCTTTCATCATTTTGTGGATGTAGAGTTAAAAAAGTACATCGCCATCTTGCTCTGAACAATGCCGTTTTAACGCACCTGATGTCATAAATAATTACAACTAGTAAATACAAACATTCCAGGAGAACTTGAACTATAGACCTTATAGTGTTCAGATCACAAAAACACATGAATGTGCCCCAAGTTTTGTTGCTGACATGTCTCTGTTTTCACAGGTGCGTATATTCCACCTCCCCCTCCATCTGTACCGATGCCTGTGCCTGAACAGGCCCCCAGCCCACCAGACTGGCAGTAAGAGCCTTTTTTCTATACAAAAAGCACTCAATGCATGCATTGAATCTTAAACGCTCACCTATGTAATCATCATAGAACAGTGGTTCTCATGTTGTGCGTTTTATTAGACTGGTGACGACCGCACAGAGTAGCATTGTAACAGAACTTTCAAATGTATCATGATAAAATATTTTTCCCCCACATACGCACGACCGGAAGTAGCGGAAGCAGTCGACTGACGCCTTTGTCTATTTGTTTATTTTGAATATGCGCCCTCTAGCGGCGAAAATTACATCTTGTGCCTTTAAAGAGTTGTGTTATAATAACCCCTACAAATACAACTCATGATTTAGGTTAAATAAAGATGTCAGTCTTTATTTTTCTTCTTTTTAGGAAACAAATCAAAGAAAAAATAAACAAATTCTACTGTTCCTAATATTCTGTATGTTGCTCAAAAACAAAATATATTGTGTTCAGCGGAAAAAAAGTTTATTTTTTTTACCCAGTCATTTAAAAATAACACATTTTAGAGCTGTAACGACAATACCGTGATACCGTGAAACCGTGATATTTTTGCTTAAAGGCCGTTTCACACTGAGCGCGATGCGGAAAAGCGAGGTGAATCGCCGACGAACGTTGCTTTCACACCGAGCACGAAATGATTGATCACCTTCTGCTAATTCACGCCTGCATGCTAGGTGGTGCCGACCATCAATGCATTTTTACTCCGATATGTATCTCATATATGGATTTAACATCGTCCACTGCTCAATATACAGCATTAAATATAGCTAAATAAAGTTTGGTTCTACGCCAGAAACACAAACTATCTATAATGCTTACAAGAAAACATCTTAAAATATAAATATAAGTACAATTAGCATCAAGCCACATTTGAAAATTTATGTGATTATTGTTTTTGCTTAAAACCCTTTATAAACCATCATCGAGTGCTTGTAATAACTTCCGATTGTGATCTATAGTTGATTTTGATTCTATAATAGGCAGACATGCATTCTTTGTAGGCAAGAAAACACATACAGAAAATATATCGTCATAATCATGTCTATTTGCTTTCATATGTGATGTGTAGAAAAATGTCACTCGTTCTCAAATCTGATTGGACGGCCCGTTTCATCGTGGAGCGACGGGGAAAAAAATCGACACACAGGACGAAAGAAAAATCCTCGCTTGGTGATCGCGCCTGGTGTGAATAGCCTCATAGGGATCTATTGTTTCGATTCAAAAGCGTAATCGCGACGAACATTCGCGCTGAATTTTCACTTTCAGTGTGAAAAGGATAAGATAAAGATATCGCTGACTCTAAACGGCAACTTCCTACTTTATTAACTTTCTGAAGTGTTAAATTAAGTGGAAAAGACAAGTCCAAACACGCTTATAATAGCTGGATCTATTTTAGCTGCTGGATCTATTATAGCTGCGCCCGCGCCCTCACTCACAACTCTCTCAAGCCTCGTTCACTCCGCCAGCGTCTCGCAGCGATCATTTTCATACCAGGAACGCTAAACATTCTTGCAAACTGTCTAAACTGAATTATACATGTCATGCAGGCATTCATATGAGGAGTTTAACAGCAAATTAGTCATTCAAAGAACTAATTTTATTTTTGAACATGAAAAATTTACCGAGGTCCGGACCTCGGTGGCCTCATAGCTGGTAACGGGCCTGGCTACTGGCCGCAGAGGAACCCAACTGGGTTGCCTGATATAAAGAGACGTAATCCCCGACACAGAGCTTCACACTTGTGCAATACGGAATTATAAGTAGGCTATGTTACTTATTTTTGTCAACCTGGCTACCATGTGCACGCGCTCTCTCTTTGCTGTGAATAAAAGCGCCAGCTTTCTGAAAACACAGGTAAGCTTCCAGTTTAGCGATCTCCACTTCGATATTCTATTCTCAGAAAAGTGTAATTCATCAAGTGTTCATTTACGAGAGAGAGAGAGGGAGAGAGAGAGAGAGAGAGAGAGTGTATTTAAGAATTGCCTCCGTTTTTGCCACGTTTCTCTATTAACAGTGAAGCGGTGTCTTTAAATGCTTCAGAAACGATGTTACCAACTCTTTACTGAGAAAGATAGTGTACCTCTTTAGCGGTGAAGCTCTTTTATTGATGAAATTGCGGGGCAGCATTGAGTAAAATAGAGACTGAATGTGTGCGTGTGAGCTACAGTAAAGACAGCGCATTAGTTAAGAACGCTTCTAATTTTTGTTTTTATTTTTTTAAACGTAGAGAGTGTGCAATGATAACCTACCAGCAATGTAAGGTGATATTATTAATATAATAGAATGAGTATATTACAGTATATATTTAGAACGAGCACATCATTATTTACGGGCTTAAAACAAGATGCAAACAATCAGAATATTGTACCTGGTGGGGAGTGCCCAATTTTAACATGAAACTATGCCATTACCTGTATTTGTTATACTGTGGTACAGTTATGGAGGCCGTTCATAATGCAGAGGTCAACTGCCTGCTCTGCCTATAGTTAGCAATGGCCCTACAGCAGTGCTATTCAATTTGGCGGCCCGAGGGAAGAGTACGCGCAGGTTGCACGTCTTGAATTGTTTTTGCACTAATTAGTTTGTCCACAAGGTGGCATCACTGGCCCAGGCCGTTATTTCACAACCGGAAATGAAAAGGAAGAGATGGAACAACAACTTTCCGGAGACCGCAAATAAATTAAAAGTTATATTTTTTCAGAGCCTACTAAATGTTAAAAATAATGTCTTTAAATTATACTGTAATGTTGAATGGCTATAATTAATGGCTAAAATTGAGGTGAAAATGCATTTAATAGAGACATCAGTAGCAGTATTGGTATCAAAAATACTGGCCTTTGTTAATAATAGGCTACTTTGTAAAGAGAAGCCATTAAACATTTAAAATATACCACCTTTAGGTTGTTTCTACGTTCATTTGGAGGTTCAATGTGAAATTATGACAATATATTTATGCTCCAGAACATTATGTATTTACTATACAAATAAATTAATTTTAATTTTTTATTTAAATCATTTAGAAAATAATGCTTTTAAAAACAAAATGATTTTTTTAAACTTTAGTACAATAACAATTTCCTCATACAATATAAATAGGATTTTGTACATGAAAACTTATAGGTGCTTTTATACTGACCTTGCCAGGAATCATCATATTTTGAGGTTTTCGGCATCAAAATGTTTGAAAGCTTTATCTAAAAAGTATTCTGCTGATTCACCTTTTTAGCTTATTAGTCTGCACTAATGTGGTGTGTCAGCTTAGTAAAACACTTAAAAAGCATCACAGTGGTACTAAAACGTGTCACAACACACCCTGTTAGACATGTGCAAAGTTCACTTACGTATTGATCTTTTCTCTTTGATATCAGTATACCCTCCATCTCAGAGGACAGGGCACGTCAAGCTTTCGCAACGTACGTCTCCAGCAAGTGCTGCTATAGTTCTGCCCCCGTCAGAGAGGGAGTCATAACCAATATGGAGTCCTTTAATACCTACAGTGTGAGACCTACAATAAATCATCTTCATTATTACCATCGTTTTCTTCTCCAGTATGTGGAGTAGAAAAGTAGCAACTAGAGTTGCTTTTGGTGTTCATCTGAGGTGTGTCTGCTTATTCTGCTTCTGTTGTCAGTATCGTTTGGAGACATTCATGGAGCCCAGATCTACTGAATGGAGTCAGGAGCCTTACACAGGTACCCAGAAGTCAGATATAGCATGTTTATACTTTATGCTGTCTTTTGCTTTCATTTACACTTGGCCAAATCTCTGACAAATGGATACAAATCTAATCTTGCATTCCTGTACTATATACAAATCCTCCATGATTATGCAAATGCCAAGAAGGGAAATTTTGCTGCATTTAATGTGGCTCGTAATCAATAAAAGCACAAAATTTCTGAGTCACATTGCAAAAATTTCATTTGTGTTTAATTTTTAAACCATCAGCCATGGCTTTTGGAAATTTAAAGGGATAGTTCACTCAAAAATTAAACATTTCACCCTCAAGCTGTTCCAAACCTCTAAGAGTTTCTTTCTTCTGTTCAACACAAAAGAAGATGTTTTGAAGCATGTAACTAAACAGTTGACGGTAGCCATTGACTTCCATAGTAAGGTAAAAATTTTCTGTTTGGTTGCCAAAAGAACCATGTCATTCTCCCTGTGACTCTCTCTCAGGTCAGCCTGTGGATGCTGGTGTTCAACCTGCTCCAGGTCCGTGGCAGATTGCCGCTCAACCTCCGGCCTTCTTTCAAGAGCACAAGCAGACCATTAAAGTGCCCTATACTTCCTCAGTCAAGGTTTGACCTTTAACCACATGATCCACCAAAACTAAGAGAGCAGGTCCCATTCGACACACTTTAGCCACTTTTCCGCCGTCTGACCGAACGGTTCTAAGAGCTGTAAAGGAACGGTATTTCCTCTTGAGCTTGGTTCGGCATGGCATGATTGCATGTAGTGTATATAGTAATGTTCACATTTAGTGACGTCAACGTGTAGTGATGTCTCCACTCAGAATTGGTCACTTGATTGTTGTCTGCCCACTAGTTCTCTCTCTCTCTCTCTGTAGCTGACCAAGTGCACCATTTGACTGAAGTAAATAGAAATATCTGATCATCCTCCATAACATGGCTATTTACATCTCATACCATATGTATACACTTGTGTTACCAAAGCAACGACTGATGAATTTGTATTGGAGCTCTGTTATCAGGCCCACAGTGGAAAATTAAACCCGCTGTATCCATACCCGCTGGGCCGGATCGGCATGGAATGAAACGATTAAGCATGAGAATGGTATTGCCTGATGGTGGAAATAAAACATCAACACATTCTGCATTTCTACATGAAACATCAATACGTTCTAAAGCTTTTGACAGCATTTTATTTAATCTTCCTGAAGATCACAAGAAGTTTCACTTTAATTGTTCTGATTGTAGAACTTTTATAGAGCGCAACAGTCGAGTTCCGGAAGCAAATGTCCCATTCTTTTTCTCAATACAGTAATTAATTTTTAAACCTTTAAAGACAGACGTGCCGTGAGCTATGAGGTTGTTAATCGATGGTTTATGCTTTTGGTAAAACCATTAGCCTGCATCATTTTTTATGAAACTTATTTTAAAACGTATTTTTAAATAATCATGTTTAAATCCAGAATTCATGGTGAAGAGCTACATTACCCATGATTCTACAAAGAAATCTCCACCAATCAGAGAATCGTGAAAAGCAAATTGCACCAAAAAAAAAAACACCCACTCAGATGAAGCACTGTGAATGAGTCTCTCTGCACTTTCCAAAAAAAAAAAATTTATATAGGTCACATTTTCAAATACTTTTTTTGCTTCATGCTCCAAATCGAAGTTTGTAATTCTCTGATTTTTACACATTTTCATGGCTTATATCTCTTTAACATAACTTTTTAAAATCCCTATGGGGAAAAATGAATGGGACAAAGAAATATGTCTGGAACCAAGGCTGCTGAAAAAGTGTTTTACTCTCTAAAGTACAAATGCTTTTTGGCTTCCTGCTGCACGTAAACTTGCCAGTAATGGTTATGTTCAATCAGTCAGATCATATTTTAGAGCATTATATTCTGTTTGCACCCTAGAACTGTCACTTGTGTCTGGGAAAGGGAAGAAACCCCTGTACCACCTGTGCTGGAGCTGGAAATGTAAGTAATTTTTGACTAGCACAGACCGAACCAGCTGCATGCCGGGCATTTAATTGTTCTCAAAGTTTTATTTTACAGAGAAAATGGCACTTATACTGTGTAAACTTGTGTGGTGCAAGAATTCAAGTTGAGTTGTATTGGAAATGTGCGCACAAGCCACAGAACGGTTTTTCATAGAACTGTCACTTGTGTCTGGGAAAGGGAAGAAACCCCTGTACCACCTGTGCTGGAGCTGGAAATGTAAGTAATTTTTGACTAGCACAGACCGAACCAGCTGCATGCCGGGCATTTAATTGTTCTCAAAGTTTTATTTTACAGAGAAAATGGCACTTATACTGTGTAAACTTGTGTGGTGCAAGAATTCAAGTTGAGTTGTATTGGAAATGTGTGCACAAGCCACAGAACGGTTTTTCATTCAGTTCATATATGATGTAAAATACCCTAAAATATTGTTGTCTATGTGCAGAGGGTCTGTACGTTGTGTAATGGTTCTGGTTACCGTCAATCTGATGAAAGCTGTGTGAACTGCAACGGGCGCGGACATAAAAAGTAAGTCCTTTGTGGCAGGTAGGTTTATAATGAGACCATAACATCTCTTTAAAAATTGGTGTCTCTCTAAAAAAAGTTCCTCAGGTCATGAGTTCCATGATTATTTCAGATTTTAATTATTATTATTATTTTATATTATTATTATTATTATTATTATCATTACTTTTAATTGTATTTATTTCTTTTCTTTTCTTTCTTTCATTTCCCCCATTTTATTTCATTTCCGTTTTATTTTATTTTATTTTTTATTTTCATTGTATTTATTTATTCATTTATTGATTTTTCAATTTTATTTATTTAATTTTTCATTTTATTTATTGGTGTTGTGTTATGTTGTTACTGTGGGTTGAATACTGATGAAATCCTGCAGGGGGCTTCAGTGGTTTGGTATTTTTCTGAGTTTTGACTTGTTTGGTGTCTTTCAGCTGTAGTTCATGTAGCGGCAGCGGCTCTTGCCAGTGTGACACCTGCCGTGGAAAGGGAAAGCTGATCGTCTTCATCAACCTCAATGTTAAATGGTATGATCTACATGATATAACCAGAGCTTAAATTTGGCTGGGGTGGTCCAGGGCTGAGCCCCGGTACATTACGCTGGTAACTCATCAGGTAGGGCCCTATGATTTCCACGGTGTGGAAAACGCAGACAGCATCTTGGAATCCAGTCATAAAAATGGAATTTACTGTATAACATGGAATGTCACAGAATTTGCCAATTTAGAATGAATAAATCAAAAATAGGTCAGAACACTTAAGTCAAATGGACCAGTGTCTGTGAATATTAAACCACAAAAAAACTATTTAAATATGAATACTGCATGTTCTGCGTGTCTTTGTGTGAATGCATGGTGCAGACGCACAGTTTCATCTGCAACACAAACTCATTTGACCATTTAATTTGAGAAAATCAACCGTCATATCATTTACACATACAAACATAACTCTCCACGGCAACCCGTCAAAATAAAAGTTTGGTTTAACTTGAAGAAATTGTGACAGAAATATATTACCATGGTACAGTAGAATGTATGTCTTACTACTACTACTACTACTACTAAAATTATATGAAAACTTTATTTTTAAGGAATAATCGCACAATTTGTCTTCCATATTTTAACAGTAAACCTCTGTTGTGCAGCACTTTGTTTGCCAAAAAATGAAAGGGTTTGTTTAATTTTCATTTGACTAAAAGATAAATGCATAAATATAATAATTTGATTACCAGAAAAATGTAAGTACATAACACAAAATTTCTGAAATACATAAATAAACAAACAAACATAATTTGAGAAAAAATAAACATATTTCATAGGGCCCTAAACATTTTTAATTTTTTGCTAAACTTTTAATAAATTGCTGTTTTGTTGTATTAGTTTCATGATTTCAATTAATTAGACATGCTTTTTGATTAATCAGATTTAATTTAAACATTAAAACAGAGTCCAGAAAAATTTAAACTGAAAAAAATAAAGAATTTTTTTACACCCTTCTCGTTCTTACTAATTCAAGCTCTCTCAACCTGTTACATTTTACAGTTTGCCAACTGATATAAGAATTTGTAGGCTGCACCCCTTGAAAGCATGAAATCAACCCCACGTAACAAATCCCAATTTAACCCCTGGATATAACATTCATGTTTGCTAAGGCAGGCATGGATATTACAATATTAACTAGCTCCTCAGTCACTGTTTGTGCTATATACATGAATCCTGCAGTATGAGGAGAGGTTTGCTGTTATGTTTCTAAACGATCATACTCATAGACTTACATTGAAGTCATTCTTTGCACAAGAGAGCACTCATTTACAGTTTCTTTGAAATAAAAAGAAATCAAGTCATTATTATTAATTATTTCATGATAATCAGAAGTCTTTCAAACTGAACTGTCTCATTCTAAAAGCTATTTTTGGACTATTTCAGGAGCATAGAGAAGGATGAATTCGTAGCGCAAGATTCAAGTGGTCTGAGAGTGGAAAAACTGGAGGAGGTTTCAGGGAAGGAGCTCTTCAAAGACGCCCAGAATATGGTACGAACAGACCGTACATATAGTGAGAGGTTTGTAAGGTTTGTTGAAATTTGTAAGCTCATCAGATGGTTATGTTTACTGTAGGTCTATCCAGTGAGGGGCTTTCCAGATGTTTCTGTTGCACAAGCTTCTGAGCGCTTTGTAAGAGACCATCAGGTGAAAAACGCCCAAACATCTCGCATATTACAACAGGTAATCTTTGTGTTTTTGTGTGCTTCCAGATCTTTTTATATTGTAAAATTTACAATATAACTCTTTTTTTATATTGTATATGTAAACATCGGCATCGCCCGATATGAAAAATTATGCCATTGTGCCTTGGGTCCTAATGCCCGTCCGGTAAGGCCTCTTATTTATTTAGGGGGCGCTGTTGCCCTACTTGCAATAAAATGAAAGTAAAATACACAAATAGCATTAAGACTGTGTTTCTGATTAAATAAAGCAATAATATATGTCATAAAATCATGTAAAGTATGTTTTGGTTTAAAGGTCAGAAGCTATAGCTTACATGAATAAAATATCACAAACGTGACACTTGTAAATTAAATAATTTTATATATACAGATTTATTCATTAATGTGTAATATTTTGTCAAATGGATTATGAAAACTTACATACAAGGAGGTCTAATAGATTTTTCTCTTTTGCTTTAGGCCATTTACAAATGTTAACTCTACAAATAAAATGTTAAGGTTACCACTGCATCTGTCCAAAAAAAAAAACTGCAGTGATTGATTTATAGTTATTTTCAAAGCATTTAATGTACTCTCATTATAGTTTATTTAATTCTAACAAGCACGTTTTTGTTAAAAACTAACCAAAACTAAAAATAATTTGTTTATAATCTCTGCACAGGAGAGACTTGGTGTTGTTTCCAAACAAAATGAAATATATTGGTATCGGCATCAGCAATTGGCCAAAATGACTTGAAAAATATCGGCATATCGGATATCGGCAAAAATCCAATATCGTGCATCCTTAATTTCCAATTATAATTTGTATGTTTTAAAACACAACAATGTAATGCACAAACATCGCTATATCATTACCAGTCGGTCTGTAACTAGATCTTGAATCTGTCATTCTGTAATCTGTTTCAGAGGCAGACAATCGAGCTCATTCCCATAACCAAAGTGAACTACATGTGGGAAGGAAAGCCTTATGTTTACTATGTGTATGGAAATGAGTTTAAAGTGAAAGCTGTTGACTATCCCGACCAATGCTGCTGTTCTGTGATGTAACATCAAATAAACCTGACCTGACCAGTATAAGTACAATATAATAAATACTGTACATCCATTAAGATGAACAAATGTAATGTGTCTTTTGCCTATACATCCCAGAATCATCTGTAGCTGACAGACACAAAACTCAACCTGTCCGAATGGGGCATTGTTTATGCAGCTTAACTTCCAACCATGTACATGTAAGTAACATTCAATATGACCAAATGTGAATAACTAAACCTCTTATAGATTAATGCATTTTTCAGAAGACCTAACTATTGAAGAATATGGAGTATAGTCTGTAATAAATCTATAAACAAAACAATGTATTGAGATCAAGAAAGAGTCAAAATAAACTGTGAATTTTGAGGAAGGACCCCAAAACTTTTTTTTAAGCTTTTTCTTTTATTTTCACAATATTGTATTTTCTTTTTCTTTTTTGTATTTTCTTTTCATTTTCTGTATTATTTTTGTTTTGTTTTGAGAAAGGACAGATACTGCATCTTAATTGATACGTGTTAAAGTATCAATTCAATTAAGTGCATTTTCAATCTAGTTTTAGAAACATTTGTGCAGCGATTGTTTTTATGTGGTACTGTTTAATGGAAAATGTTGCGTTTAAAAAAAAAAGGGAGGTCAGTGGTGAGCCTGTGGTTATGTGGTCACAAAGACCTCCTCGTGAGTCTGTTGTGAACTAAATTTCCATATAAAATGGTTTTAGAAACATTTGTGCAGCGATTGTTTTTATGTGGTACTGTTTAATGGAAAATGTTGCGTTTAAAAAAAAAAAAAGGAGGTCAGTGGTGAGCCTGTGGTTATGTGGTCACAAAGACCTCCTCGTGAGTCTGTTGTGAACTAAATTTCCATATAAAATGACCACAAACCAAAGCTGATGTACTGAAAACTGAAAAAAATAAAGCACAACTGTGTGCCATGGTCTCTAAACATGTCCAAAAGAAAGCTGTGGTAGTGGTTTCATAGCTGAGCTCCTCACGAATGTGGTCTTGAATTTCAGATAAAATCCCAGGAAAAAAAACAAAGCTAATTTAATTTGCAGTCTATTTCATCAGCATGGCTGCAGGTGCAAGGAGTGAGAGAAAACAGCATATTTCCTTTTATCATTAATGAAGCATTTATTCAGACTGATTCTAGGCTAGGTACTGTATAATTGTGGAATCTACTGTAAATAGCGGTTTTGTTACCATTATGGTGATCAGTTTTCCTTTGACCTTAGTTACATTTTAGTTTTTTGGTGTTTTATCTCTGCACCAGTCTGTTAAATATTTCACTGAAGAGCCCAGTGGTCATAACTAATGGAGGTGGGCGTTAAACAACTAACCTGTAACCTCAATTTTATTTAACCATCTCAGAAACTCACAAGTGTCAGAATGTGAGCTTCTTTACAGCTATATAATCTTAATCTGTCTCTTCTGATTTGAGAAGCAACTCTGAGATACAAGCAAGTAAGTCTCTGATTACCTCTATGTTGAAACGATAGCTTATTTTTGGCTAATAATAGGCCTATGTATTGTACAGAATAATGTCTAATAATGTAAATGACTACATTAATTGCTATTTAGCTAACGTTTTACAAACATTGAAAACAGCATGGACATTTTCTCACAACCTTTAATTAATGAGCTGATTAAAATTACTAATAAATGACCAGTAATAAAATTTGTAATAAATGACCAGAAGAGCAACCATCTTTGGCCAGTTTTGTGAATGGAACACATCAATTTGCCTTTTTATTTTTATACAAATAAATAAATCCATCGAGTGTGAATACTGTTTAAAAATGTAAACATGAGATTACTTTTTCACACTTCAGGTTTGCAAAAAGTAAAGTTAAAAACTACTTAGAAATCACTGGTGTGTAAAACTATAGAGTTATATTCTTTCAGTTTGAGGCGGATGAATGGAGAAGTGTTCATTGGTGACCAAGTTTGAATATAATGTAAATGAATAAATACAAAAAAGAAAAAATGACATGGAACATTCTCTGATACAGTAACCTCATTAGACTTAAAGGAATATTTCACACAAAATTGTAAATTTTCTCAAGCTGATCTACAACTTGGCCTGAAGGTGTATCTTCATTAGAACAGATTTGGAGAAATGTAGCATTAGGCTATGTTCACGCTTGCCGTCTGTTTTGAAGCTGCCAGCGTCTGTTTTACATTACAATCCTATGGAGTAAACAGTGTTTAAAAAAAAAATAAAAAGTCCCGAGCGCTTTTTTAAATGACACCTCCGGCGTCTTTTTCTGCAGCTCACGGCGTCTTTTCAAGTTGAAAAAAGTTGAACTTTTCTAAAAAACAAAAAAAAGTCCTACGTCAAGCGCCTTTTTGACAGCTGACCAATGACAAGCGAGTAGCGAGACCAGTCGTTTCCATAACAACAAGAACAAACAGAAAAAATGGAGAAGGTGCCAGTAGATAGACTTATCGTACTAGTTTCGGAGCACAAGGAGTTGTATGATATTTGTATAGTGTAAAATATGCCGCAAACCGTGCATCATCCAACCGGAGCTCCTGGACTAAATTGTTGTAAGCACCATACTGTTTCCTTCCCCGTATAATGTCATGCACATAAAAACGTTGTTATGAACCGACATTCTCCTCCCTGTTAACTTCAAAAGCCAACACAAGAGCCAACTTCCTCTTTCTCTACATTTCTGCACCACACAGCACTAGGCTATTGTTGCAGCTGTTGTTATAGCAACAATCGACATCCTCGGCTGCTATTTGTAACCAAAACGCTGCCAGCTTTTTTTTTTTTTTTTACTAAAAAAATGCCCTTGTCAAATTTTTTTTGTCAAAAAAGACACCAACTGTGAACATGCCCTTACATCACTTGCTCACCAATGGATCCTCTGCAGTGAATGGGTGCCGTCAGAATGAGAGTCCAAACAGCTGATAAAAGCATCACAATAATCCACAAGTAATCCACACCACTCCAGTCTGCATAACAGGAAGTCTGCTAAAACACTGTACCAGTCGCTCTTCTGATTCTGAACACTTGTTGGTTTATTATTGTCACTTAATTGTGTTTCATTTCTTATTTAAGTTATTCACAACTTCTTAGAGTCCAGAGTATAAGCACCATACACTGCTTCATAAAATGTAAAAATCTGTTTTTTTTCATTCATGTTTCGGTTTAGGACATTCCTCATTATACAGATGACAAGCACTACACTTTAACACAGGAAATATAAAGGAAGTGAAACTGAGCTATAGAGTGCACACTGTGTTAGTAAGGACCATCGTTTGATGCACAATGAAGCTCCTTTCACATGCCCTTTTGCTGGTTGTAATGTTAGCTTCACGTAAGTACAACATTTTCTCCCATGTTTTATATTTTACTCCACAATGTGAACAGGGAGTAAATCATATATTAATAATAAACTATTGCCGTCTGTTTATCCAGAGAAATGTCAGGAATCAGAAGATTGGACTGATGAAATGCTTCCAGACAGCCTATACGATTGGTTTTCAGGGGATGTGGTTGTATGTCTTTTCTCAGCCCTAGAATAGAACAAATAATTTTACATTTATAATCTTTTTCTGTTCCTTTGCCTGACAGGACTTTCCTTTTCAGATGATTGGAGACATCACTGAGGAACATGAAAGTATGAACAAATTTTGTTTAACTGCATTAAAGGTCCTTGAAATACAATAAATGCTTATCATGTTTAAGTTGAAGTGATTCTTTATTATTGTTGATGTCTTTTAGTAAACCAAAACACTAGGAATAATTTAAAAGCAGCATTAATTACATTCCTCAAAACAACAACTTTGCATCATTTGGCTCCCTTTTGGCCTCCCTTCCATTCACCAGCATGTTGATGTGTTCCAGTTTCAGATGTCCCAGACCCCAACATCACAGTGTACCGACAGATGGAGGACAGAGAGAATGTGATCGTGCTGTGCAAGTTTGCCCAAATGTTTGAAAGGAGATACAGATTTCAGTCATTCAAATTGTCTGTGGAGAGTGAACTGAACTACACCATGGAACTACTGAAATGCTCTTCTTTAGATTCCTCAGAAATATGTGTGTTTCTGGTCACAGCGAGTCCACCTGCTTCCTTCACCTGTGTGCATGAGTTTGATTTTGGTTTAGATGTCAGGAACCTGCGCAGCCAGACCTACAATTACAGTGGATCAGGTAAACAAATACATCTCTGCAACTATGTTTAGATGTTACATCCCCCCAAAGATCATACAATATTGCTAAAGGTTTGCATTTTCCTATTTTAAAATTTATTTTTTTATCTCTCTCTCTCCCCCAACTCTCTTTCACCCTCATCTGATGTTTAGGATGCATAATTAGCCATTTAAAAAATATACATTAATACAGCAAGATACAGCTGATCACTGGAGTGTCAGTATGAAACTATATTTCAGTGCATACAAGCCAAAACATATTTTGACTGTCATTGCATTTCCTTGCAGTCTTTGATCATCACGAGGAAGGACTATCTTTATCCTACATCTGCTTTTCCTCTTTCATTGCTGTTGGTCTGTTCATCATGACTGCAGCAGTGATCGTGACCCACATAAGGAGCAAAACTAAAGGTGTGTGTTTACTAGTTACGCACTCATTTATAGCAGCAATGAATATTATTGAAGGCCTGATGACTACAGTCAGATTTAAACCTAATAATGAAAATTCATACACACTATGCTCAGAGCATTTCAAAATGCGTCTTTATGTATTTCATTTGATTACTGGCTCAATCATCGTTTACTCTGGCTGCTAAAGATGCCTTTCAAGAAGCTAACATGCAGGCTTTGGTTTTCAGAGCTGTAGATTAAAGTAAATGAACTGAGTTTCTCTTCCTCATTCTTAATGCTGATGACTTGTGGCACATCACAGTAGGCGCTACTCTATGTGTAATGAATCTATATAATATATGGGTTTCACTTTCTGAAATGAGTGACAAAAAATATTGACCTTTTTCATGATATTCTAATTTTTTGAGATGTACCTGTATATAGTATATAGTTTTCTGT